ATGTACACGGCGTACATAGCGCGCGATACGACCCCGACTACCGGGGTATACGGCGGAAGAAGGCATCGACCTGCGGCTTTTATGAAGATAACATCTCTGCTTATGAAGCATAGCTTATCTACCGCCCCGCCATAGATCTTTCAGCGGGTACGGAAGCCCTCCTTGCCGCCTGTATAACCAACCACCAGCCGGGCCAGAGACCACCTTCCATAATCCATTATAGTTTCTAAAACGGCCCGCAACCACCGAGAACGCGCGCACCACGGCAAGAAGCTGTTTACGAGGCCGCGACGCGACCAGCGAAAATTCGCGAGCACGTGCGTTCGCTAACCCATGCGTATCTTTTGTCGGGGGGATACACCGATGATTTACTTGCACGCGAAAACCGCTATTTGTTCTCGATGTTTTTCAGCGCCGATGCCGTTCGTTCAACCGTGGACCACGTACGGTCTGCGACGAGTAATTGGAGTGTTTTGTGCACTTCCGCCTTTACTTGGCGACACCATACGTCTTACCGTGCGCTCAGATAGACAAGATACATTTCTCGTTTCTGTTTTACAATGTAAATCGATGTTTTTGAAACGTTAAGATCGTTATCGTGCTAAAGTAATTTCAATATCGTAGTTGTGAAATTTAAGGGTACCACCAGTTCACATAATAAATTGGACAATCGAAATAATATTAACATTTATAAGCAGCGTATGAAAGAATTCTTATCGTACCGCGCGTACATCGAAAATACCTTAAGAGTTTTGGAGAATTGTTTCAAGTCTTGCGGATATTGATCCCTGAGGAGGAATTAAAAAAGAAATTCTTAGCTGTAACACACTTTGAAATTTCTGTAAAGTATCGATGGTGCTGAAGTTTCGACACATCTTGAAAGTCTTCAAACTTTATGAAGGTCTAAGAATTTATGGCTACATGAGCGCAGTAGCGCGCATTCAGAAGATCTCGCGTGAACAAAAGGGCTTCAAAATCAATAATTTCGAAACTATCGGAAATATTGAAAGGCAAAAGAACGGCAAGAGAAAAAGTCTTGACGCAGTCTTTGCACTTGTTACTCTTAAAGGCCAACAAAATATCCTTTTATTTAGAAACTTCTAACACTAGAAACTTTTTATGATACAATATATTGAAATAAGAATTTTTCCCGAAATAATTCTTCTATTCATTTCTATACTATCAATCTTTCTGTGTAACGTTTATACGCACTTACAGTTACTTCTCGTTTGACATAAAAAATTTATAGTAAAATCTTTTATTTTATTAACTTTTTAACATTTAATATTATTGACTCGTACATTAAAGTATTTATTTATTTTATTTTATCTTTGTTTTTGCAAAGAAAATCATATTTGCCTTGAAGATAACATAAAATGAAACGTAAAGGAAACATTTAATTATAAGTTTTATATCCGTCTTTATAGTTTCGTTTCAATTTCATTTGTATTGGACATTCAATTATCGTTTCACTGAAAGAACATCTTGAAAATTAAAGGGGAGATAAAATTTTTTACGTCTTATTTAAATTCTGCGATAAATTTATATTTGAAACGATTGGCGAGTTTTCAAACATTAGCCAAGCTGTATCAGAAAATTTGAGAGCCTCTGCTTTATGGTTCAAGACCCTATTTCCAATTTCTTGAAGTAACCTTCGCATACATTACAACTCGGTGTAACGCGTACGTAAGCATCGCGGCTTCAACATTAAATGGTCATTTCTTTCTCTTTTCGCAACGCTACACCCATCAAACCGCATTCCTCGAGAAAGTTGCAGCGCGCATCGCATACATCCAAGCAGTAGTACGTCAGGATTATCTGCGAGCACGTTAATGAAAAGACGTCCGTTCGCAAATGCACACGCTGTGATGAGGCCGGCAGGAAGAATGACGTTTTAAGAGGCATAGAGAAACGTGCGTTGACTTCCGATGATTAATGCGACGTTATATTGTCCGTTACACATGCCTAAATCACGGACATGCCAGTACCGCGTTTTACACGACGCAATAAAGAATAAACTTAAATGAGTAAGTGACGAGCAAGCAGATGCATCTGGTATAAATACCTGTCAGATGTATTTTATATGAATGTTGCCTCTTAGATAAATGCTGTCTGTGAGAAGAACAGAAAATGTGTCTGTTTTCAGCAAGTTGACGTTTGACGAGTGAAACCTTTGAGTTTGCTAATATTTTCTTTTGGAGACAATTATTTAACTGCTAAATAACGACTCACAATAATAGCAGAGAGAGCTTGATTATTATACTTGAAAGTTTATTGTTACGTAACGGAAAGAGGGGGAAGAGAGATACAGAGGAAGCCGAGATGTATATTAATTTCGATCAAATAAGACAGACTTATATAATTAAAAAATTCTTTATCGGCTTCCATTGCTCTTCTGCCGAGATATAAAGCAATCTTTTATTTGATGAAAAATGCTCGTGGCAGCTCCGCGCTAATCTCGACTTGATCATACTCTTCCGAGGCTTGTAACAGAATTAAACGTGAAACGGCCACGAAGAAACCATGATGAAGACGGTGAAAGCCCCCGCCGTCGTATCGCCGGCGATTACATGCGCGCGTATCTTCTCTCGCTGCGCGAGTTTGCCGAGTGTTCCGCGCGTATACGATGCCATCGCATCGCTTCATCCCGGTTTCCGCGGATCGCGGAACGGGACGTGATAAATGCTCCGACACTGACATCAGAAAAATATTACTCTCGTTTCTTCAACGCTCCGGCAGCCCCTTATCTCGCGGCTCGACTCTCTGAGAAATGGATTGTTTAAAAAAATAAAAAACAACGTGGCCGCGGTCAGATTTTTACATTGGCTGTTTATATCTATTTCGCCTTAACAATCTTTGACCAGCATGATGATGTTAAACGCGAGCGTCGGAAACAGGATTGCGCGATAAACGCGAATGCAGGGTAAATGAGTGTACTCGATGGTAAAGTGTCTTTAATATACATTTTTATATGCAATTATTTATGCGTTAGTAAGTACAGAAAGTGAAAACAATTGTAGATTCGCGTATCATAAATGTGAGTACAATTATACGCAGTCTGCCCGCTTTATAAGTCACTTGTCGCTACGTCGTAAGTAGAGCAGTTTGTGAAGTTTCACGGCAAGACTTTCCAAACTGAAGTGCATTGCGGTGGTTATTTTTGCGCCTGTCATTTATTAAACTAAACAGAATCTCTTCTCTTATTTTTACTTTGCTATTATCATCATGCGAAAGAGAAACAGAGATAATTCAACACACAACGCACAAGTAATTATAAAATAAAACTTTACAAATTGCTGCACTCTAATTACAAACCGTCTCGTTCTTTAATGTATAACATGTCATATATATTTCTGTTATATAATTTTTTAATATTACCAAGTGTGCAAAATCTTATATTTATAATGCTTAATTTATTCACATTTGTTCTATCCAAGTCAGAACAACGCGCTGAGAAAAAAGTTGCTAATATGACTAAATGTGTTTAGTTGTGGCAGTACATTTCTTTAGGTCAAATATACATGCTTTCAAGTTAAACATACGTCATTTGTCAAAACGCATAGTTTTTCGAATTAACGATTACTTTGTGAATTAACAAATGTCTGCTTGACCGCCGCATATAGTTGAATCGAGAAAAATTTTCTTCGTCCAATACTTTCTTCTCAGTGCATGATACGATACGAAATGGGAATAAATTAGAGTCATTCTTTTCATCACAGTCGTTACAGTTAAAATCTCGATTTTCAACTTGTTTTAACATTCGTAATTAATTTTAGACACACGTATTCTTTCTTATTATATTATAATAAAAAATAATATAATATCTAGATTAAGTATACGATATATAGATTAAGTATTAATTTTGCTCAAAGGTAACATTTTATTAAATAACGATGCGTAAAAAAACAAATCTAAACAACAACAAAAAAAAGAAGTAGAAATAAGACTATATAATTACTAAGCGTTTATGTCATGTGCGAATGCTACGCCTTTCGAGTACACGGTATGCCTGTCACATGATAACAGGGTACGAAAAACGCAGCTATCTATGAAAACACGGACAAACCTTACCGAAAAATATCGTGCTACATTCTCAAAATAAGAACAACGATAATTGCTTTGATGATTCGTCCTCGCTAATGAACAGTCTAACAATCCGACCAGCATTACAAACATTATTAATTAGATTAAAATTTAAAATAAAATTAAAAATCTGAGTCTGTTAACGCATAGTGGTTAAATATATGTAAAGATAAATGCTCAAACGTGAATATTTTTCTCCCTACTTTTAGTCTATTTGGACATTAAATACGATAAAATAAAAATAATTATAAATATACAGGATAATATACTATTGTTTCACTTTTGATATTGAATGTTGTGGTAATAAAGTAATGAAGTAAAAATGCTAATCTATTAAATAATTTAGCATTACAAACTTTGTGGGATTCGTCTATTCATTTACTAAGGTCCAGTTTCACAAACGTCGGTTAACTGTTAACCAGAGTTCAGTCGACTTCCTATCTTTCTCTATCTTGTTATCCAAGAAGAGACAGAGGATCAATTAACCATGGGTTACCGGTTAAATGACGTTTGTGAAACTGGCCCTAAATGTACTGTTAAATTATTGAATTTTTAAGTATTTATAATATCAAATTCTAATTCTTCAAGTTATAAATAAGTTAATAAGAATTATTTAAGCTTTAGTAAAATTTGGAAATTAGTTTATGTTTTAATATTTACGTTTCCGAGAAAGTGCATTAGAACATCCTGTATATTTAAAAATTATCATCTGTGTAAAATCTAAAAGTTTATATGTGGAGATTTACTTTCTTCTTAAAAATAATTGGATTACTTTTCTTAACAAACGGCAGTTGGAAGATTATTTAAAAGGTCGGAAATGTGCAAATGCGAAATATCATGAGAAACGTTACCATATATCATAGCTGAGAGCACAGCTTCTTTTTAATCCATTTTGGACCGTGAAATTATTCCGCGAATGGTCACACATTTCACGACGGCCGCATTAAGTAAAATTCGCAGTTTGCAAGTAAAATATACTGATGTCGGAACATAATTTTTGTGTAAAACTGACAAAAATAGACTGGTTTCTTAAGTGCTATCGCATATGCGATTAAAGCAGACTAGAGCGTGTCTCTAAGACGAAAAGAGGCAGTCGCTGAATAACTTAAAAATTAAATTCACTATCCATTCCAAGGACTTGATCGCATGGATAACCAGAAGTGCGTATATTACCAAAACAAGTATTTCTATCTTATACATGTGCTGCAACCTCTCCATTAACGCGTAGTAAATACGTTTGTATGCTCGAGTACTGAATTCGCTTAGTCTTTCCATTGTATGATGCAGCTTAACGTGTTCGCTACATAAATACCGCTCTACAAATATAAAAATTAATTCAATTTATTAGAAGAAAAATATTTCCTTATCGATAGACTGTGATAATTTCATCGCAATTTTATATACACGTATTATGTAAGTTTTTATTGCGATTCGCGTAAACTTGCATTCCAAACGTTACAGATGGAACATGCCTTTTGATTGTACATTTTGTAATAACTTTCTCTTTAAAGTATGCATATGCCATTTTAAATACACAAATGAGAGAAACTACTAACCAGATTTACTTTTAAATCTGTTAAATATTAACAGGATGTATATACATTACCTGCATCAATGTACGTTTCTTCCTCCGGTGGAGGTAGATACTTGTCCAACATAACTTCAGCAAAATCAGTGGTATTGTCAACAGTCTTTAAAATATTGATACCGGTTTCAGTTGACATGACCTTGTCGGCTTGTTGCCAGCTGTAGATACGTAGGTAATGGACCTTGTAATACGTAAGTAAAGTCATAACCCTTACTCTCTGCTTGGTTTCTTGCTTCAAGTCGGTAAAAGTTTTAACCGCAGGGCGGAGACGTTCAGATACCATAGATTTCGTGCGATTTAATATCTGGAAAAGAACGAGTATAAGAAAATAATGCATTTCTATGTAAATTTGAAACCCCAAATAATTAGAGACTCATCTTATTGATAGAAATATAGACATATGCATCACCTGTTTGGGTTCTTCTTTGATTATTGGCAGGTTTACTTCGACAAAATCAATACCTTGACACAATGTTTTATCCAGCGTATAAATTGGTTTCTCCATCAATCGAGCGACTGGCAGGGACTTCTCTATCATCGTATTCACTACACTCTCGACTGTGTCAAAGGCCCAATTTACAAAGGTATTCGTGCCTTTCACACGTTCGTACACCTCCGTGGATTTGTCCCACAAGTAGTTCACGCTGGGTATCTTACGTGCGCGATCGACAGCTTGAATTCGGTAAAACTGGTCCGAGAGTTCCGTGTACATGGTTGCGATTGAATCGAGATCTCCTTCTCATGGATAAGACGAATAACCCCTTGGTTCCTGTGAATGCGCAGTCTGTAACGAAAACATATTAAGATAATTCCACTAAAAACTGAGAGTTCTTGATGTAAAAACAATTATAATCGCAGTAAGAGGTCATCGTGCAGAACTGGCCGCATACAAATTAAATGAAATATTTTTCGACAAACTCTTGGCAAAATGTACGAGGAGAACTGAGAAAGAGTAAGCTTGCAAAGTATAAATTGTGCAGATAGAATTATTTTTACGCAGAATGCAAATGAACAAGAGGCATAAATAGTTGTCCAACGCAGAAGCAATCGTCCTTTAGTCCAATAAGGCATTTCTTACCATTGCATAATAAGTGTCATTATTACATTAAGCGCACCATGACTCAATAATAAATATTCAGATCCCATTACCGCGTTCCGCTTATAAATTGCAATTCGAGCTGGACACGCACGGCATTCGCGAAGAAGTACATTCAAACACACCGAGCGAGAGCTAATAAGCGATCGGAGCACAAAGCATCGGCGGAGCGCGCTGTAGTGATGCGCGAAGCGCATACTACGTCTCATTGTTCGCGTTCTCGATCGATAGGAACGCGCGAGAGCGAGTATAGTTATAGAAATATACGTACGCGTGTCTCAAGATCAATGTCACAGCCGTGAATTGACAGGTGGCCCCGGCCGACGTGAGATATACGACAAAGCAAAACCGAAAGTCCGTTTGACACTTACTCCACGCGATCGTCGCGACTGGACGCCAAGCTTCCCTTCAGCTGCCCTATGGCTTTGTGTTCCTCCCTCCCCGTCACTCTCTCTTTCTTTTATTCTCTTCCCTCGCCGCCCCTCTCTTCAGGCATCGCAGCCGTTGTACCTTGATCTCTGACTCATTTCACTACGAAATTTGTTTACTCCGACAGGCGACCGCGAGTTCAATTATTTATACACTCTTACGCACTAGCGAGGTTGCGCCGTTTGCTGTCACTTTTCATCACCCGGTATTGAGTGGGAATATGGTGGTCACAAAGAGATTACACTGTGGCTGTCAAGTTCTCGATAGTGGTTTCGGTTCGAAGCCATCGTGCGTCGGTAACGTAAAGACTGAGGCTACAAATATTGATCGAAATTATTTTTTAAATACAAATTTCCTTACGTTTGACTGAAATTTATAAGAATTTTATTAAACTTGGTAAAATTTATTAAAATCTTGTTTTAAACTTTAACAATTTTTACATTTAATTAAAATTTTACAATCATTTAGCGAAATATTATTTAAATCTGACAAACTATCTTCCACATGTGTGGAAAGTTATTGTTCTAATTTTGGTCTTTTTTAAAGTTTTTATTTAAAAATATATGTTAATTCAATTTTGCCCTTGTGAAGTTATACATATGTGAAACAAAGAGCTCCAGAAAGAACGTGACAACCATGAGATTTAAATTCTTCCTTTTTATCATCTTAAATGAAATAATTTTCAGGAAATAATTACATTTCGTTATAGTTTATTCCTAAACTTCGTTTTAATAAAGTTGAGTGTTTTCAACTTTTTCTTTTCAGATCAATTAACAGATCAACTAACAGATCAGGATAATTAATAACATAAGAGACATTTTCTCCAAAATTATATTTTAGAATGCATCTACATGTAATACTTTATAAAATATATATTTACATTTATTTCTCACATTCGCAGTTCATCAATATGATATGCTTTGTAATATTCAAAACACATTTAAATGTTATGCACGTTGTTACGTGTTAACTAATGTGATTCTAATAATGATGCATCGGTGGAGATAAGTTTTGTGTGTTTCTCGTAGCTGTAAAGAGCTAATAAAATTTTACAAATTTTATTTATATAAATTTGTCATGTGTGTAGAAAAAACTATAAAAATTGTATAACTTGTTATTGGCCACAAAATCGTGAATCACGTGACTTACGTATGATACAGGGCATAAATATACAGAAATGCATCCGATCAACAAATTCTAGATTTCGAAACATTGCTCGGATTAAAAACGTTATTTCTTTGTATAGACATATTTTATAATTTTAATAGAACGCCGTCGTTAAAACAGTTATTAAAAAGTCTTCTCAAAAATATATATACAACGTTTTCGACTTTGATACGAAATACAAATTTTTCTTAACGCTTTAATTTTCATATTTTTCGTCTTTTATGTTTTTTTTTTAATTTTCGTTCTCAGTGAGTAGCAAACTTTATAAAATTATATTTCAATTTAAACGCGTATGAACGCCATGAACAAATTAAGCGTCTCCAAACTCTTTCGATTTATTTTTTCTCCTCGTCCTTGTTCTCTGTCGGGCTGTTGTCCTTGTCCGTCTGTTTCTGCCCAGGGTTCAAGTATTGCGTGAGATGGAGAATGGATACCACGCTGGATATGTACGTTGCCACATCCTCCTTCTTTACGGTCTTCAGTTGCGCGGCAACTGAATGGTAAACGCGATTAGCGGTTTTCGTTGATAGCTGGCCAATTGTTTGCACCGCATGAAGTACTTTGTTCTCATCCGCGGAGATAGGATCTGTAATAACGTCATCGTAATCATTAAAACGAAGCCAGTCAGTCAGTATAATGCGGAAGTTCGTGAAATTTCCGAGAACGTACTTGGCGTACTCTCTTCTCCTTCCACCGGCGGGAAGTAATGGTCCAATAAACGATTAACGAGCACGCTGGTGTTGTCAACGCCTTGCACAGCCATGTTACCGTATTGCGTGTCTAGAAGCTCGTTCGCTTTAGTTATACTGATCTCTTTCAGCGTAGATGCTTGTTGCGTGGCTGATTCCTTTGCTGTATTAAGTTTCTCCATGGTCGGCTGAAGGGAGCTGCTCATGACCGCTTTGGCGGCATCGTATATCTGTAAATGCCAGAAAGCCATTTGTTTCTTCTCTCATCAAGTTTACAATTAATTAAACAAGACGACACATGAGTTGGATTATTTCGTATTATCTATTATTATTAATTTATTTTTATTTTATATTGCTTTTATTTTATTAATATTTTTAGAAAGGAAAAACTTAGAAACATAGCAAAAGAAAATTTTAGCCAGAGCAGCTTATATATTTAAATAAATACTGAACAAATGAAATCATTTTCTCTATGTTCAAACGGACTCTCGGAATTTTAGTAGCTACCCGGCTGTTCGCGCACTAAAAGAGGGCAGGTTTCCTTTAGTGTTACCTGCTGAGGGGGTTTCTTCACGATCGGGACTTTTTGTTCAACTATGTCCAATCCTTCGCATAGCTTCTGATCGACGGCACTGATCTGCCCTTCGAATTTCTTGGCCAAGGGTGCAGCAATCGGTGCGGCCGTAGCGGTCGCGTAATGCAGTCCTGCTTCCGCATAACTCAGTGCCCAATTTACCAAGTGATGAGAATCTTTAACGTAAGAATATGTAGAGCCCGTCTTCTCAATCGCCGAGTGGACCACCGGAATATTTTTCACTCTATCTAGCACCTCGAGGCGAGGAGCGCCCGTGGAGCTTGCCGTTATCTTATTTGCGTCTGCCATTCTCTCTGCATCAAACCAAATAAAATTTTAAGTTGACACTTGTCCCAAAAATGGCATCTATCAAACTTAACATTTTTTGTCAATAAAATATATTATAATAACGTATATTCGTATTTACTGTGTGCTTCTTTAAATTGTGTGCAAATGCAAATTTCAAAATTTGACATATGCCATCTTTTCTAAACACATTGATACAATGAGATAAATGATAACTATAATATGCTGCGATATTATAGTTAACAGTGCGCGATGTACGTGCGGATTTAAATTAGATTTATGGCACGGCTGAGTTATTTGTGCTACACGTTTTTCAATTTTACGTCAGTGGCTTGTAATTACGTGTATCATGCTGTTCACGCATATATTTCAAAGATAAATGCGTACGGAATGGCAAGCACGTATTTCTTGCAGAGATCTTTGTACCTTAGTATCTTCGGTAGCCGGTGAATCAAATGCGTTATTTATCTCGTTATCTAATTCTGTGTCAAGTAAGACGTGTACTTTGATACCGTACTTTATGTGTACTTCAACGATAAAATTTTCTCCATATTTCTCCTAATGCGTCTACATATGTGCGATTGGCAAATTAAAAAACAAAAAAGCAGACAAAAGAAAATATACCGGCGAATAAATCATTGCGACACGTGTACCGTGTATATATGAATTGTAAATGTCTAGTTGTTTTGGTGTTTCACACATTTACATACGTGCATGTGCGAAATAGTGCCACAAAAAGGAACGTAAAACGTGAAAATCAAATATTTAAATTTTCATTACACGAACTAATGTACTCAACTGATCATAAGATTGTGCGCGTAATACATGACTCAACCGCTGGAACAGAGAAAATAGTAAATTGTTCCGCGCTGCTATTACGTCGCTGTTGTATGAAATGTAAAGTGTACGTTTGGTAATAATGTTCTCTTTGTATTTCGCATCTTTCTTGACCGTCTTAAAATACTGCTCTCCACAGAAGAGATTTAATTTTATACCTTTGTTGTAATCCCCCAATTAATCAATCTTATTAATTTAATGTAATTAATTAACGTTGCCTAATCATTTCTTTATAAAATTAGTTCATAATAAACTCATTTACAATTTTGTTCAGTACATTTTCTTCTTTTAGACTCTGTCTTATATTCTATATATCCTATTTATTGATGAATATAATTGTGTAACGTTTTATATACTTTACATATATAAAACTATTAAGATATGTGAATATATTTAAACGAATATTTTCATTGTTTAGAAAATTAATTGTTTCAGATTATTCTTAATAACTAATTATTACGACGCAGTTTCTCTCTATAATACACGACACTGAGAATGCTAACTCTGTATACTGGTACAATCCAACAGACTTTCCCTCTTGTCTCAGAAGATTATTGACGTTTCTTATGAAATATTCACCTTAGCTAGGTCAAGTTGTAACGTACAACCGTTTACTCAAAGCGAAACCGTACACACAAAACATTCCAAGCGTAGATCAACACAATTTTAAAGTAAATTATCACTACTGAGTATAAATTATAGTATATAATATATGCGTAACCATATTAGTTGCTCAATAAATATTAAAAACGTCCAAGAATAATCAGAATCGCTTGTTAATTCCCATTATTGATATTTATTAATTAATTAATATATAATTCTAGTTTATTCACAGTGGCGTTTATGTTAAAAGAATGCAAATATGAAAATAGAAGATAACAAAATTGTATTAGTTATATTTGCTTGCAATATGAATTGTTTGAGCAAATTATTTTGCATGATATAAATTTACAAATCGATATCTTACATATCTCAGTGTTTTCTTATTTTATAATATATACTTACGTTTATAAATTACTTGCTGAGGAGAGTTTCTTGATAGTCGGAGTGATAGCTGTGTATAACCGATTAGACGAGATGTCGAGTAAGACTGTCGTTATATCTCTGCGTTAAAACCGGTAAGCCTCGGGGGAATGCCATCAAGTGGGGAGACCGGGACAGTAACGTCAAATGTCTTCCTTTAGAGAAAAGTAGAAATAGGAATTATTTAATATTATTTTTCGTCTGCAAAGAGAAATTTTATTTTAGCCACACGAAATAGAAACAATGAGACGTACATGTCATTTTATAATAGTAGAATAAAACTATTCGATTTCATTATAAAAATCTTAAGCAACAATTGACAAGATTTTTTAGATTAATGTTATCTTTTGATCTTGCCTTATATGCTTAAGACTTGAATACAATCTTGAAAATTATTTAATTTTTCGTAGATATTATTCCTTCTCTTAATTGGTCGTTTTTCGCCTAGGCGTTTCATTTCTAGTAACAAAACAATGAAAGAAATCCATTAAATTTAAACAAAGTGTTTTGAATAAAGAATTAGCATTTTTAAGAGGTTCTTTACTTCTCATTTTTGAAGTAATTTATATTTCACTTTATTGTATTGTATTCTTAATTCGATTTTATCAATAACTTGTCCAATGGAACTTTACACTTGGGTTCCACGTAACACGAATACGTCTATGTTTCTGTTTCTGCTTCTGCGCAGTGAGGGAACATGTCTCGCCACGTCCGTGACGTGGCGGTCGCACACTTGTCTCTTCTACTATAAATACACGTGGAAGGCGAATGACTAGTCCACGAAGTTGACCCTACGAACAATGATAATTGGAAATAATGATGTGTGCGTCATTTAATGAATCTGATGCAACCTTTCAATATCTTTTTGTGATATTTGTATTGTCACGCTTTCCCACCTCTATTGTTTTATAGTTAATTAGCTTCATTAGTTCAAGAAATTTTATCGTGCACGATAATATATGACCGAGAAATGTGAATAATTATGATAACTTACTCCCAATAATTGCCTATAACAGATAGACGATTGATTGGATAAGTTTTACTATTCATTTCTATTGTTCTAGGTAAAGTGATAGAACTGAATTGTCACTCCTATTGCGTCTTTAATAAATATTATAGAATGAAGTAAAGTAAAAGTAGTCAAATATTTTCTACTAAATGTCGAATTTATTATTATTAAATTCAAATTTCTTCAAGTTGTAATGAACAAACGTTTCATTATACATATATAAGACAATATAATTTAAATAGAAGTAATAGTAAATTTAAAGTAATATTTCCTATTAAAGTAATATTTCCTCTTATTAAAAGTAATATTTCCTATTAAAAGTCGAATTTATTATTTCCAAGCTTAAATTTCTTCAAGTTTTAATGGACAAATATTTTATTATGAAATAATATAATTTGAGAGTAATAATAGTGAAAGTAATAAAATACTATTGCATTTTACCTACGCATTTATTACATTAATATATTAATAAAACGTATACAATAAAAATTGTCTAATTATATTTATTACATATTTTTATTGCATTGGTATTTATTATATATTTTTTACATATTTCTTCGGTATACAAAATACATATCAATATTTAGTTTCAAAAATATTTTCATTGTGTCGGTACTTAGTAACAAGTGAAAATTTGTTATCAGATCAAAAGAAGGTTATATAGTTTTAAGGCTCTCAGTAGAATATAGTATGCTTCGAATCGCTAAACGAAGCATATATATTGTATAAAGATAAAATTCTATAACATATAGAATTATATTTATATACATAATACTGAGACCGAATAATTATTTGAAACCTCATATTTTACGAGAATTTTATTGAAATTGATGCATACCTAAATTATAAAAAAACATACATATATTATTATATATATATAAATATATATATAATTATAGCAATTATGTTATCTACAGATCATTATATGAGGTTTATTTTATTTTAGTTTATATCCATAGTAATAATCTTTCAAGTTTATTGCATGTGTATTTTTCAGTGCCTTATTCATCTCTTTTCGCACAATCGTAAATTATACAAAATATATAAATATAAAACTTATCTATACACAATTCTATATCTTGCTCTTACAATTACACTTTTTTTAATTTTGCATTTAGCGAGTAACATAAAGGAATGTTTACGTATTAGCATTCCGTTGATGCAGAATATTTTCGCATGTTGATTACTTTTTCGGCTGCGAGAAAGCACGATAATTCAATTCTACGACGTTATTATCAAAGCATATTCGCCGCGAATAACAATTATATATGCATAATTATTAAAAATAAATATAAACGTTATCTCCAGTGACAAATACAAATTATATTCGTGGTGGTTTAAATAACCATACGTGGAGAAATGTTGAGAAAAACGGGGTAGAAGCGGTGCTTTTATTCGTTCTTTTCCTTATCTTCTTGTGGTACTTCCTTTTTTGCGCCATTAATGTACGGCTTTTCGTTGACAGTGTGAATATACTTCGTGAGATGAAGGAACTCGACTAAACTGCTGACATAAGAATTCAATAAAGCGTCCTTCTTGATGGTGCGCAGGTGGTTTACTATGTTCAGGTACACACGTCGAGCAGCTTTATTTGACAGGTGACCGACTGTTTGTAGAGTATGTAGCAGTTTGTCCTCCTCAGCTGCATTTATCTCTGTACCATCTGTATAAAATATTTATAATTAAAATAACATATTTAAAGAAAGTAAATAGAGAAAAAGAAGTTTGTGTTTAAGAAAACAGATGCGATAACCATTTTATTTTTGCACATTTAGAGGTAAAACTAAGCAGTTATTTGATCTAAATGTTTATTAAATTAATAATAGAGAGAGAGAGAGAGATTGTATAAATTGTAAATGAAAAAAGAACAATATATGGAAATAATATAAAGAAATTTATTTCTTATTAAATCTTCAATGCAGAACTTTAGTAATTTCAATAATTAGTTATGTAACTGGGAAATATATAGTCACGCTCACATAAAATCTGTATTGAAGCAAGAAATATTTTTAATTAAAGAAAGAAATTAGAATAAAATTTTAATCATAATAGAAGAGAACAATAATTTAGTGACTACCACAATTTGGTGGCTATTGTAATTACGACGATAAACTCTTATTGGCTACGTTCAGCTACTTCACGTTACTTTACTTCATGTTCAACTACTTTCACTAACTTTCTCGCTGACTCGTAACACGCCGACTTTCATTACATCCTACAGTTTTACTCTTCCCTACAATATTCTAATATTTTACACAATAGAGAATTTAATTAGTAAATGTATGTATATACTTTTTGTAGTGCATTGTTTAATAATTAGCATCAAGTTTGACTACTTTAATAAGATGCCAAGAAATTCAAAATATCACGAGACACGGTAGTGTCTCGCGCCAAGTGTAAGTACACCTTACCTTGCGGTTTCTCCTCTTCTGTTGCGGGGAAATATCTGTCAATGAGTTTATCAACGGCAACGGCCGTGTTATCTATACCTCTCACGGCCACACTGCCATAGCGTGTTTCGAGTATATGATTGGCTGTATTCCAGCTGATGTCTCGCAAATTCGTCGCTTGTTGGAGAATCAAATCGTTTACATGCGAAATTCTTGATACCGCTTTCTCTAAAATCTAAAAGAATGAAGTCCAATATATTAATGTACTTACTTTATTAGTTCTAATCTTTAATTTAATTAAAAAAGTATGAACGGAAATACGCATATCGGTAAGCAATATTTATTAATTATAATCATACGACAGAAGGAGATCTTTGTTACAAACCTGTGCGGGTTTCTCCTTCACCAGCGGTACTTTTTCTTCGATTTTATCGAGACCAAGGCATAAAGTGTGATCGACGAAATTAATGGGGCTCTCGAGTCTTTTCGCGATGGGCACGGCGATGGGCATCGCTTGTCTCGTCGCAGTGCTCAGGGACGATTCGGCGGTGCTCAGAGCCCAATTCATTAACTGGTGCGAACCCTTCACTCTGGAATACGTCTCTGCGGATTTGACGAACGCCAGCTCAACGATGGGCAATTCCATTACGCGACTAACGACCTTTAGATGGGGAAGTTGCGCCACCTCCGTTGCCATGTTTCCGAACAAGATTCTCACGCGTACGTCGAAAATATCTATTTAAATTAAACCTTATTTTTGAAAAGATGAGTTATGAATTTATTAAAGTAATGATAAACTTATATATATTAAAGGCACACTATTCGAAGAAAACGTGCTTTATTAGCACACTTGCATATAGACTATTACTGAAGGCAACTATTTGTATTCGTATTGTGTATTTAATGATAAATAAATAATAAATTCTTATATAAAACTCTCTATAACTTCTCAGCGATAGCAATTTTTACATCTATTCTCTTGCATTCTATGTGATATTAAATAAAATTTTAAACGATCGATTTGCCGAGGCACTGTGCTGAAAGAGAACCTTCGGAAATCGTCTTTCATGATATTGACTGAAGATGTAAATATCAATATCTTCGAATACTGGTAACATAATATTTTCCAGTTTGGTATGTCCTTGAGATATCGATAGAATCCAAATTATTCACGATCGTATTAAATTGTCGACTCACTTCATTATTTTTCGCCATCAAATAATCGTAACATTACTTCAATAGTTTTAATGCGCAGTATGTCACGACGAAAATCTAAATTTCATGAGAAATGGAGATGCGATCGTATTTTTAATTTCGCTAAACTTCGAGGCTTCAAATTGAACAAATAATTCTTGAAAAATTTAATGATAACTTCGTATAATGCGTTATATAACGATATAACTTTTTATAAAATGCACAAGAATTCCCGACAATGTGCAAGTACATGTAACAGCAATAAAATGTTGCGAAAGAATTGTCGTAATTTTCGAGTTAAAATTGCCATAAATTTCACAATTTGTGGAATAGAACTTTGGTCTATCTAATATCAAGCAAATATTTGGGAATAAAATTTTGACAAGCTATAACTGTAAAAGGGACACCACTATTTTCTGCCTTAAAAATGGTACTCACAGTCTCAGGCTAACCGCTACGTCGATCAGCAGGTAGTTGTTCGCTGGCGTGACTCTCGAGCGCGTCTGGTACCTCGGTACGAATGCTGACTCTGGTCACGCACGTTGAACACTTATAACGTGGAGAATCGCCTGCGCAGTGAACAGTTTGAAGCCAATACTGTCGACTGACCGAAGTACGACATCTGTTAACTATATGGTTACAGGCACAAATCCGGTCAGATTCTTAGGTATCTGCTAGTCATCCTATGAGCAAATCGGTTCTTAATATAAAAATTAACGAGGATTAACGAAAGAATAGGAAACGGCACATATGTACTTATCTATGTATGCACATTAGATTTTATTTTATTCTTTAATTGTAAAATTACGTTTTCTTCATACAAAACGTTAATGTTTATTACTCTGAAAATTACTGAAATAATATCGCGCATGATATTTTAAATAAAATAAAATTTAAATACTTCTCTATTGTGTAGACATTTCTTTGGAGTTTTTAAGAAGAATTTTTTAATTATCCGTTATATATACAACGTTCACTTTCAGCGCCAACTTTCAGTGGGTTTCGCGCAATTACATTCCAACCATGACTAAATAATTTTTCCTTTCAATAGAAGCATAATGCATAACACACGCGAAGGCCAATCCCGTAGATCGAATAATGTATGAGCTACTGAAGTGACAACCTATAAATGTAATGGTTTGTTCGTTTTTTTAGGTACATTTTCTAGTACATGATACACGTGAATATTTTTATTTGTTAATTAAAAACCAATATAAAATACTTCTTTCTAATATATAATTATGGAGAAAGTGTATTTCACTGATAATTTATATATAAACCATAGACTATTAAACAATAACTAATTTGTGTGCCTCTAAGTCTGCGACATAAGCGTTTTAAGAAAACGGTATAAATTTCCTACTTTCTCACGCTCCCTAATTATTATGCAAACATTTCTCACACAACATATTTCTAGCACAATGCTGTGATGAAAAGGGGGACATGATTCCGTCTGTCCTTTTCCATAATCATGTCTCCTCAGTGCAAAGTCCATTCCATCTATATCGTCAGATAGATAATTTAGCTTATGTTATCATTACTGATGTGATTGTCGCATAAGCAGACAGAGATGACTTAAAAATTATAAAAAAATTTTATACACATCCAGTTCCGCGTAAAGAATATTATACACTATCTTAGCTTCAAAATCCTCACAAAGTGTATTATACTATGTAATATCTTGGCTTCAAAATCCTCTTATTTACTAGAGAAGATTTCGTAAACCATAAATCTTTATTATATTACTTTATTTACAATTATTAATCTTTCCTAAATTTTAATAATTTAACACAAAAAATAATCAGACAATTAAAAATATTATGGACTTTAATATTAAACAATGAACCAAATTTATCTGGATGGCCATTTCAAGGTTAAACTATATAATTATCATACGAATTTCATAATAAGAAGCAAGTCAAAGTTGTTTTTATATCTACTTGATGAAATTCCAGAGTCCACAGACATAACGTAACATTATTTCTCCTAGACAGTGTGATTTAAAGATAAGCTTTTATCATGCGATGTACGAAGTATTGCGTGAACATCAAAGAAATATGATACGTCTTATTCACCGCAATCGTTTGAATCATTCTTTTGGGAATTTTGTAATTTTAATGTTGTAATCGTTGCTCAGTTAACACATTAATATATAAATGTGCTAAATTATTTAACTCAATACAAACGTAAACGCCATTTAGGTCTTTGCCAGCTAGAGGTAGCCAATTAAATTAATATGTAAACTTATACCGTATTTTTCCCAATCTGTCCTGCGCGCCGTTACTTCCGGACATATAATAAACAGGTTTTCGTTGGGCGGAAACATTATCGTAAGTAAATTCACGTGTCATAAAATCGCTGAACGACTTTTCTAATTATTTTAAATGCTATACTTAGCATACATTACAATAACCCCCCTCTCCGCACTGAAATTATAATTTTTATTGCAAAAAATATTATCTCAGCCAGGATTCCAACCTGGGACTTCCCTTAATCCGTGACGGCGTCTTAGCGAACTCGACCACTGAGGCCGAAAACCTATGTTATACATATAATATGTCCGGAAGTAACAGCGTGCAGAACAGGTTGGATAATATACGGTATATGAATTCACATATTAATTTACTTGGCTACCTCCAGCTGGCCAGGACCTAAATGGCGTTTTCGTTTGTATTGAATTATATCTTAAAAAGGTCCGGAATAAACTTTAGTTAAATTATTTAAAACTTATAACAAAATTTATTATTAGCAAAAGTAATTAGCACAAATTGCATTATTATTATGCAATGACATTGTATTTGCATTAATATATAAAGAATATAAATAATATATTGTGAATTAGCCCTTTATAAATATCAGTTTAAAACTTTTAATATAAAGTTGTGATAATATTTAATAATAAAAAATAAATTTTACTTGTTACAATTAATTTACGTAGATTATTTTTTTAACGGTCAGTATTTAATTGAAAAACAATTGGCATTTTATCCGCCAATGTCGAAGAGCGCATTGTTATTTGCTTGAGATATACGGACGGGTAGGTTTAAAAATCCTATAACTACCTAAGGATTTCACCACTTTCACTATTTAAAGAAACCTGAAGAGAGTGTAGCGTTGAAGGATGTTAGTCAGCGACGTCTCGCGATCTTCTCATCTAGGTATTAAAGTCCAAGATTCAACATTTTAAACAATAATTCGATTGTTTGCGCAATAATTTGATTTATCTGACTCATAATTACGTTCAATAATAAAGACTTTTTTAATATACATTTACTATATATAATACTTTCTCCTAATGCAACCACACAAAATTGAGAAATAAAGAATATTTACAATGACAAATAAAAGTGAAAAAATATGAATTAACGTGTAAAGAATATTATTACTATAAGAATCTTAAAACTAGGACATTTTATTAAATTTTTATCTGTTAAATACATATATTATTATTGTTGCTTTAAATATTTGAAAAGGTAAGTGCGAGGAAAAGAAATAAACACGAATTCGCGTGATGTCACAATTAAGACGGCCCTTTATTTCTTCACGTACATTTAATTATCGTAGGAGCAATAATTTTGACTAATAACTAAGTCGAGAAGCACAAAATGAGTATGGCACTGGTACATTGTGCCAGTAATAAAATATATTCTGTTGTATTACGTATTGTATCACGAATACAAAATCATAAAAAATTATGATGTAATTGCGGTCGATGATATGTTATTTATGCTAATCAGTGTGCGGCGACTCGGCGCGATTTCTATCCTCGTGTCTTTGACCTTGTAATTGAAAACCATAGCAGAAGGGGAAAGAAACCCGCACGTAGCATTTTTCAGGCAAGACTCGCTCGTTACTCGATACCATTTATTGGAGGATTGGAAGTCACCGACATGTGGTTGTTGTGGTTCTGCTCGCGGTTTCGCATGCGTGGTACCTTTTGAGGGCTGGGACGACCAGCCAAAAATGCAGCGAATTTTTCCTGCAAGGAAAGCCAGCAATTTATTATTGTACAAATGTGTCATGCAAAGATATTTGTTTAATTAAATTAGTATGGCTCGTATGTGTTAAACACAAATTTCAAAGAATTTAAAGGACTCAGAGCCGTGACAGGGTGCTAGTGTCTAAATATTCTATTCTAAATTTATTACGAAAAAATATCACCCTGGCCGAGGTAATATTTTTTCGCTATAAATTTAGAATAGAATATTTAGACACTACCGCCCTGTCACGGCTCCGAGTCCTTTAAATTCTTTGAAATATTTGTTTAATTTATAAAAATTTTTCGAGAATTGATTTACTGTTGTAAGATGGTAAAAATAAAACTTGAAGATATAACAATAAAATTGTTTTTACATAAACTTTTTAATTTCTCTTCAAATATATATTAACAATTTCAAGTATCTTACAAGAGCTTACCAATAATAGATTCGTGGTCGAACTCAACCTTTCGATACCAGAGCGTATGACAGACACTTGTTCTTTTGCTGCGTTGCTCTTACCTATAAATAGTGTCATCTGCAAAACAATATAAAACAATATCAAAGTATTATTAAAGTAACTAATGCAATTTTAGACACGTTAAATTGTATTTTGAAAAATAAGCATTAATTGAAGTAATATAAAAGTAATATTTCATTATATTCCTATCTCGTTCCGCTTAATTACACAAAATTTTAAGTCAAGTAAACACTCTTCTTAGATTGATCGACATATACGTTTGAGAGAAAGTGCCTCTCTATGATTTCTATTGTGTGCATCGAAAATATCACTCTCTTAATATTGATGGAGTTACATAAATACGTCGATTCAAGCCGGATCAGTGAAGTTGATGTAACCTGCAATGAGGCGTCCGCGACGGCAAGTAATTGATGAGAAAGCCGGACAAGTAGATGACCTAGGCTCCGTGGAGTTCTAGCCGCCAATACCGCCGTACCGTTGACCAAATGCACTATGCGCCGTGCGGATTCGCGCGTCAAAAGCACGAGAAGCTGTTCGAGCGATTCGGGACGAGCTTGATTTTCAGGCTCGGGTAGGCTCAACGTGGCCCACAGCGCCTTCGCCTTTTCCATCGCCAATTTTGGGTCCGTGGCTATCTGCAAATACAATTACAAATCGATACTTATTACATACCTATCGTGATATAAGTACGACAGGATCATACCGAGAACACGAGAGGATTCAGTGATCATGGCATAGTAAATATTTAACTCGAGTCTTTTTCCACCTGTATTTACAAATAGCTCACCATGCGTAGCTCACTAGACATTCTCGTGATCTCGATCACGCGCTTATCGCTTTCTCGTCGAACTAAGATACGAAAATAATATAAATTGAAATAACTTACTTGTGCTTACTTTGTTAAGCAAAAAATTTTTATATTACATGTATGACTGTGGTCTATATTTAAATAGTTTATTGTAGAATCTCAAAAAGATTGCATAAGGAGGTCATAGGAAGATAAGTCTACACGAGATGTGCGAGCGTTGCTTTCTAGGAAGAACATCGAGTCACATAAATATTTGTAATTTATTATTTTTTCGAGTAGGGTATGATATCTTATTCAACGCTCCGTGGTAATATTTCTTTGTATCAGCATCTATTTCGCACAAACATCTTTCTAATCAGTTGTAGTATGTAAAAATAACTGCTTTAAACTGTCTTAAAATAAGTGCTAAACCCCGGTTTCACCAAACGTCGCTTAACTTTAATCTTAGTTTAATTCATGTTTGTCTTTTTCTAGAGTAACAGTTGGAAAGAGACAAAGAACGAATTAAGCTAAGCTTAAAGTTGTGCGACATTGGTGAAACCGGTCCTAAGTATGAAAATGTATCTATATGTTATGCGTATGTATACAACATCAAAAGCTGAATAATTTCGCCGCGATGTAACGTGACAGTATAAGAATGAAGAAAAATAGACTATCTCAATATAAATTTTATAAATTTTGATACAATTTTGATGTAACACGGATATTATGAAAGACATGTTGATGACTGATAAATGATAAATTGATGAAATACCGAATCCTACCAATTCCACGACATATAAAAGAACGTGAATGCACTCCGTCCCTTGCTCTTTGAGTGCGCGAGCCTCGGCCAAAGTGCGTCGCGTCAATCTTTTTTGTAGTTTTCGCGAGAACCTCGCACCATGCTTGATCGTTCGTGTCGTTTTGCTCATCGTTTCAGTAGAGTTGACTTCTAAAACACGGAGCCAAGCACTTGATATTATTAATATTGTTAGTGTCACACGCATGGTCTATACATATATTTGTATGTATGTGTATATTGTATCTGTATATTAATTCGCTGTTATTATTAGGTTTTGTTCAATTCTATAACAACCATATTAGAAGATGCAAAATAAATTATAACATAATCTTCATATTATCACACATGCTGAATTTTATAGAATACTGAAAATTGATATATTATCAAGATGACAATATATCAATTAGATAGAATATGAATACTGATATATTATATGAGATTTAATATATTATCCTATATTTACCATCTTTATCGGCTGGATCTGCTGGCAAGTAACGATCCACGTACTTGTCCGCAACCGTCAATGCACCGTCCAATCTATCAGCTGCGGCGTCGGCAGCTTGATTACCGATTTGCTTGACACTTCCGGCCCGCATTAAAACCGGCTTCACAATTTTTTTATTTACATAGTCTCGCGTGTTCAAATACATCTGGAGTGTGAAACAGGGAATAAAACTATAACTAATTAATCTGTTTACACGCGCGAGACAGACAATTGGTTCAATTAATTTCTGCAAAATCCATTTTTCTTTTCAAGTTTTATTTATGGTAATAATAGAAATATATATAAATGTGTGGGTTTGTGTAATAATATACTAATGCAAATATGTAACTGCACTCTTCTTTTGAATATATCAGTGAGGATAAGTACATATGTCTTCGCATAAATTTTGCATATTGACCTGCAGAAAAGATTCGTAAACTTACAAGATGAGGGGGAAGATGCACTGCTGGCACTCTCTGCTCAACAATATCGATACCTTTGCACAGCAGCTGATCGATAGTCGTAATTGGTCCATTGAATGCAAAAATTGCTGGTCTTGCCGTCGCCGTTACGATCGCTAATGACTGCTCCGCCGTATCCAAGCTCCAATTCATTAAAGAATTTGAACGCTAAAGGAAGAAACGGTTTATTGAAAAATTTGAGCGTGGAAAAGAAGACTCGCGGAACAAGTTGTAATTAATCGAAAAAAAGATCCTATATTACATATGTCGTTTGCACATAAGTGTACTTTTTGCGGTACATTTTTCTATAACGCTATTTGTAATCATACCTTAATTTTTCTATACACATTACCAGCGATGTGTATACCGCTTTCCACGATGGGAAGACTCGAGATCCTAGCCACAGATTCAAAATGCGGCAAATCCGAGTGCCGCCTTCTCACATTTGCTCGCGCCATATGGGGAATAGTCGCTGCAATTGACAGTTATAATTAATGCTAGTCCGTGAAATGGACAAAGTAACTTATTAAGCCAATAACAAAATTTACTTTGATCTGTATGTGTATTTTAATTTTGTAACAATTTCTATACATTTTCACAACTGTAAAATATTCATAGAAATGTTTTTTTTTCCTAAAAACCACAAATTTCTTTAATTTGCTTATTGCATACCATGTATGTATATTCATGGAAAAAATTATTTAATTAATATTGCTTTCTCATAGAGGAAGCTTTGTTTTCGTGAAAAAAGTTTTTTTCCAGTTTTCTTTGAAAACATGTTTAGAATGTTCTAAAACGTTCAAAAATCACATTCAGAAAAATGTCGGTATGTATGTATGTATGTATGTGTGTATGTGTGTATGTGTGTATGTATGTATGTCTGTATGTATCCTTATAAGGTAACTCTAAATAACTTTTTAAATATGTAAGATGGAAAAAAATGTTAAACATGAAAGTTGTACGGTTTTAAGCAGGGTTGGCAAGGTTTAAACAATGTGTTTAAAACTGTATGATTAAAACTTGTTTAAAACAATAGACATTGTTTTAAACATTTCTGTTTTAGTAGTAGTTTAAACTACTGTTTAAAACTGTTTAAAACATCGCAATTACTATATGTGATGTATTGTTCAATATATGTATTATTTAGAAAAAAACTAATGATCTTTATACAAAGTCAGACAAGAGAAGCCTTCACTTAGGCCCGGTCTACAATGAGTCGTTAGTCGTTAGTCAGAAGTCGCAACTATATGTTGATCCTTTTCCTTTCTGGGTGGAAGAAAAAGGACCGACATACAGTTCCGACTTCTGACTAACGACTAACAACTCATTGTAGACCGGGCCTTACGCACAGTACAATTGGACACGTAATTGCACACCGTGCTATTGGATACATAATGTTGCGCACAGTTCTTTTGCCCAAATGAACTGTGGGTAAAAGAACGGTGTGCAAAAGAACTGTGCGCACCATTATCTGTCCAATAGCACGGTGCGCAATTGCAACGTGTCCAATTGTACTGTGCGCAATTGAGCCTCTTCCGTCAGCCAACAGGTAACTGGAACAAAAATTAAACCAAACTTCGTTTAATACAATTTAAAAATTCCAATACTATGATTAATTAGCAAGAGGCAATAGGTACAGAATTTCCATTGTGATGGAAATGTCGTGTTTACTGTCTATGTCACTGTCCATTCTGCATGGATATAAGATTTCTAATTTCTGTTCTCTGTTCCTGGTGTCTATTGCCTGTCTACAACGGCTTTCGTCTGGAAGCACTGCTGTGAATTGTTGATTTTAAGGTGTAATTAACTCAGCGCTCCCCGCAGACGACCCACGTACTTCTCCCCCGTTCTCCGCGGGCGCGGTAATTAGCTCTTATAATAAATATGCTGATGCAAGAATCGCATCGCGGCCTGGAAGACGCAAGCCGTCTATCGAGAGAGTACAGTGTCTCGCGTCAAATGTACGCGCAACAAAGCAAACCGCGTATCTACAGGCAAGCCGACTTTGGAAACACCCTTCGATTATCGAATCTCAATAAAGGCTGAACCGAGCAAGCCCCCCCCCCCCCCTGAGTAGGCTCGATCGATAGCTGGGGCTGGAAATACAAAAATATTATACTGAGTTTTGATTTTTCGTTTGTGTCCTACGAGCGAAAATATCGCAATACAAAGGATGTGTTCGAAAATGGATTTAGTTACTGCCAGTGAAAACAGTATAGTTGGTAGCAA